ATTTCTTTTAAAAATCGCTATCGCAGTAGAGAATGTTTTCTTGGTTTGCACGAAATAAGCTTAGGCTTGATAACAAGTGTTAGCATATCCCAAGTAAATTCAGTCGTTTACTTCATATTACATATCCAAAACATATTAATATAAAAAACGGACTGATTTTCTGTACGTAACAGAAATTCAGTCCGTTTTTTATATTCATACGTGCGAAAACTCAGTGCTTATTTCGTATTTTTTTACATACCGTTGCCAGTTGACGTTTTGTTTTAAAATTTTTTGGTTGTTTTTTTTTTGACGTTTAAAAGGAAAATGTGCTTTCAAAATTTTTTACTTCATCAATCTCGGACATAAAAGTTTCTGGATGTTTTTGGCATATTATAACGAGACTGCACGCGCGTCGTTTTCATATAGTAATAAAGTAAAAGTATTATTCATATATACAATATAGTAGTAAACAAATTCTTATTGATAGAGGTTACTTGTCAATTTTATCAGTTATCTTGATATGTCTGACGCACGGGGTCTTGTGTTACGTTGCGCGATGCAGTGTTTATTTCGTGGAAAATAAAACGCCTTGGAATTTGAATATTTTTTATTGCTACTTAACGATAAACATAATATAATGAATGATTGATTGCTTTCGTGTTCAAAGTTATGTATGTATAAACGATTTTATTAACTTTGGTAGATATAAAAATTTGATTAAAATATGAATCTCTTAGTATTAAGGTCAAGACCGTATAAAGTGAGAAAATAGAGTTGTCCTTTTTAATACAATTAATATGGATAGATAAAAATGTATAGGATACACAGAAGCACGCACAAGTCTGTGCACTTTTGTATTTGTTTTCATGTGAAAAGGTGGCAAGCCAGCTGGCGTTTCACCTGATGTTAAGTCTTTACCGCCATCCAGACATTTGCAACACCGTAGGGTTGCAAATCTTCCCCCACACGCCGGTCTTCTGTCTGGTCTTGTCTGGGTGTTTATATATCTATAATATGTTTTTATTTACAAAAGAAAAGTACGTTTAAATAAGTTTGCGTGTTACCTAGTAGCCATAGTAAAATTTTGGCTTAGTTTGGGATAAGGTAAAGTTGTGTAAAAATATGTCCAGAAATATTTATTTATTTTGAGTATAATTACCAGTTGTAAGTTAGTACATCCAAAAAGGTCTAGAGATATAGGTAGATACCAAAATTTTTCTCGACGTCTTAGGTTGACTGGGTGGGATTACCTAAAGGCAGCTTAGTTAATATCCGTTATAAAGCTATCTGATAAGTGACTAAAGAATGTTTTTCAATGTCTAGACTGACGAAGTACCTATGCTTTTGCATTAATTAAAACTTTTTGTGAGTTTTGAAATTTGTGTGACATAAGTGTTGTTTGTAGCGACATTAATTTGTGACAAAACGATTAAAAATAAAAGTTTCGAAAGGTCTTATTGCGCAACATAAGGAATTTTTAACTCTACGCAACGAGTCCGTATTTTTACCGTTAACGCTAATAAAATAAAATCGCACCGATTCGGCATGCCCAATATGAGTTCATCCAAATCACTTTGCGAAATGACCGACCAGGTCTGTTGTAACAGATAAAAAGGATTTTCTGATAATTGGCAGGACCCTTTTAGAGGAAGGATTGCAGGCTTATCTATTTTAAGAGTCTGAACATATGAATATATAAATAAATATTTTAGGACACATTTAATATAAGAGTCTCAATTAGTAGTGAGAAAGAAATAATTATTGAGAAATTTCTTCATATATTTTTCCTTTATATTTATCCTTTTATATTTAAATTTTATTTCTGCCATTTTGCTGTCCTTTATTTAGTTGTTCTACTGCTTTTAACTCTTCAATTTTGCTCATATGAATTTTTCACTTTTTTCTTGTAAATAAAATTGGGTTTTTTATCATCACATAGTCATAAAATCGATTCTTCTAACTTACGGGGACCCGAATCAGGCACTGAGATACGTCTTTTATAAAAATAAAGAAGGATCTCAAACCGTACTACCTCAACACAAGCTTTAAATTACATCGTCCAGTATACTGTTTTCCTTTCATAAATAAAAGATATAATGTTCGATACTCGGAACTATTTCGAAACGTGAAACACCAAACCCCCGAGCGAGTTAAGGACTGTGAATTTCCAAGATGCTTGGCCAATGCGGTTTCAAGATAAATATTTTTTATTAACGAAAAACAAAACCGTCTTCGATTGTCTCGCTCTGTATTCATTTTATAATTGATTTTCAAGAGTTACCTAAGTATCTCCGGAGCCCAAGATCCAATACCAATGAAATTAATATGGGACCACATGGGACGCACCAACTTTCAAATAATAAAAGAATCATCAAAATCGGTTCTCAATCGAAATTTCTGAGGTAACAAACATAAAAGAAATACAGTAGAATTGAGAACCTTTGAAGTTGTTTGATAATCGAAATGTTCCATGTTCCATTTTTATTTTTTTTATATTTCAATGTATTTAAATTATAGAAAATGTGAAGCATCAACGTTAATGCTGAGTAAATTTCTTAATGTTGTCGTTATGGTTGAGTCGCTAGAAGATCAAATGCTTAACAGTCTCATTACTGCATTGCTTCTCGATGTGTACGGATTTTTCAAGACGAAAATCATGTTTAACAACCTCGTCATCCCAGTACGTTTATTTCAATGGGCTGGGCTGTATTTCGGCAACTACGCGAAATGTTCACCACGTCAATGCCTAAAGACAAGAGCCTTTGACCAGTGCATCCTCCTCGGTATGGCCCACGGTGTAGAGACTTGGACTATCATAGCTGGCTTTGTCCATAAGCTGAAATCGCACAGCGAGTAACGGAGAGAGGCACGCTCGGCGCTTCTCCAAAGGATAAAATCGAAAACGAATAAGTTTGACGGAGAACAAAGGTGGTCGCTTTCAAAATTTGCAAACTGCCACATTACAGTTGGCTGGCCATATCTATCGAGTAAGTAGGAGTCGGCGAGTAGTAAGCCGAAGAGTGGAGGCGAATTCTTATCAACCACGGTTGGGATGAAAGGGCGTAGCCCTAAGGCTTCTCGCCTTAGGGATGGACCGACGAACTCATAAAGATGAATTGGCTGAAGACGGAAAGCGGATGACTGAATGTTGTGAAATGGAAGGCCTATATCAAACAGTGGATTGAAACTAGCTGATAATGACGATGATGAACACCCATTGTCAATATTAATTGGTCAATAGCTCTTTTATTTTTGGAGCTGATCTATAAATGTTGCAATTTAACAAGAACTTTAAGTAGTCCTTTTTTATTGAATATTTTAAATGCCTTTAGATTGGTTCAATAGTTTGATAATGCTTTAATCCTTTCGTATTGGAGTGTTTATAGAAGAACATATTGTGTTCGTAGTGAGTGCAATTTAGAGTATAATCTTCATCGGATAAAGAACCCCTATACAGGTATATGCCAATCATAATAAGGAACACAGGATAAAATACTAGTTCTAATTTCCTCAACGGATTCCGTGCCCAGTTTTTGTTATTTATTTAAAAAATTACCCATAAATGGCTAAGGTGACAAACACGCGTCGTTACGCTTCGAACACAGAACTTCTTCCATTTTTTAAGTCGGTCATTAAAAGGAAATTTTCTCGTCCAGCAAACAAATAAATTAAAACTATTCGCACTCCTAAACGACAGTGCGGTTTCGATACGCTGTAATTACTGTAAATTGTGAGCGTCCGAACAAGGATGTGCGTTTGTGGCCATGACACTGCTATGTCATCCCAACTGAGCGGACCATTCTCTATCTGAGAGAGGGAAGGACAATTTAGTGGCTATCCGTGCGTTTGGACTATTGATGACATTTATTATATCCTGATCGTACGGTTAAACGATGTGGTATAAAGGCTAAACTAATGTAGAGTCATTATTTCAAATGATGGAGTGGCGTCTCTATGTATTAAGGATTTGAAGCGGTAGGATTATTGTGGCGTGCGTAATGGCTCAAGATGAGATGATTAATATTATATATTAGAAAAAAAGGAAAGGACGATGCATATGTCTTGTTTAGGCAGAACTAAATGTAATCATAACATGACGGCGTGGAGAATAGAATCACATCATCTAGATCTTTCATTAATTACGAGTTAGACATTTTATTGCAACGTTTCAATCAGATTTTCACTATTTACCTGATTTAATGAAATAATAACCTCATAGTGTTGCCAGGTTGGCAGGTGAAGACTATAAAAGTATAATTAGCCCAACCGTTAGGTTTAATACACCAAAGACCCTTGCAAAAGAACACTGATGCCTCACAAGGATGATTCGCGAGGCTATTGAAATTAAAAAACACCCAAATTTCAATAGAGAACAAGGTTGGGTGCTAACATCAGCTTGGGATCCTATTATTAATAAAATTTTATCTAGGCCCAAACAAGCCACTACTGCATGACAAGATAAAATTAGTATGGTCTGTGTAGATCGACACAAAAATTAATAATTTACAAACGCGCTAGCCTGGATAAACAATGACAATCTGACGTCCAACCCCTCAGTCTGTTCCGTGACCATGAACGCTTTAAAGGGTTCGAAACGTCGGAAATTAAAACAAAAAATAAACGCGAAAAATCTGTAAACACAGTTTCATTTAGTAATGTAATCACATAAATACGAGAAATTAATTGAACTCGAAATAATAAATGAACAACAGTATGTAATCTACACCATCATTGGACTACGCCAGTTTGGGGTTGCAAGTGTCAATATATTTTATTTTATTTGCACCTACCATAATCCAGAACAATCCTTACACTCCTTCCAAGGTTGCGTGAACATTAAAATAAATGACATACCACAATCGATATGATATTTGTTGTGACTCCGTGAACTCTACCGAGAAAAAAATATGAACATAATATTAACGTCGGAATTTTTGCTACATTTCAATAAACGTTAACCATGGATTTTATAAGCGTTTAAGGCGTTAACAAGCTCTATTCTTGCAGGTCATGTGGAAATGCCCCCGGGACTAGTGTTCCCAAAACGCGATCTTGTAATAATAGTTGAGTGAGTCGTAACTATTAAATACTTATTTTGATAATGATTTTTAATAAAAGACGACACATGCTTTTTACATTATATGACATATTTAAGTGAATTTGACAGATGGTACGGGGAAAGTGTTAGTAATATAGTGGCAATGTATTTCCGCCATTGGCGTAATTTTAATGCCTCCGTTTCATTGCGCAAATGTCATAATATCTACCTCTTATCTATTCTATATAGATATAAATAGTATTAGATAAATAAAATTGGAGTGTCTGTTTGTAATATTAAAATAACCGTTTCTTACTAAATGCATATGGATATATACACGTTACATTTACATATACCAAAATATATATTTTTACAATTTTTGTCTGTCTGTCTGTCTGTTTGTTCCGAATAATCTCCAAAACGGCTGGACCGATTTGGACGGGACTTTCTCTGACAGATAGCTGATGTAATAAGGAGTAACTTAGGCTACTTTTATTTTAGAATTTTTTTTTTAATTCCACGCGGACGAAGTCACGGGCACAACTAGTTTGTATATAATATCATCGTATTTAGAATAGAATAATTACATTTATATATGACCTTTGCTTAAATACAAAGTGTGCTCCAAAACCGAAACAAAATCTATAAGTTTCACCACAACTGCAATTATGAATCATCAAGCATTTCTTTTCGGTGACGAACATCAGACACGGTTTCTGTAGCACCCCCGCGTTGTTTTATCGCTTAATAAAATAATGTTTCTGGTGTAAAAGGTAATAAGAAAGCTTTTTATTAAGAATATCCTTACAGTTTTGATGATGTTTACCTTTAGCAATTACATTGCAATAACTTTATAAACTTCATTAACTACTCATTTAGTACAAAGGTCGGAGTGATTTTAAGGAGCTTTTGTTTTACGTGTATTTATTGTCAATTGGTTCTGCGACTATTTTTAGTTAGTCTGTGGTGACAGAAATTCCAATAAGCCAAGAAAATAGATTTTTTGTTGCGTTCTGTCGCTAGCTTTAATTGACCAAAGAGTTGCAATGGAAAAGTAAGATGTGTGAATCTCGTAAGTTAAGTAAGATGTCGGTAATGATTATTAAAAAAACCTATTTCAGTTTTATTACAATATTTTTAATATGACATATTTTGTATTATGTAATATATAAAATGAATACTCCTGCCTTCCCATATTTAATATTATTATATAATATATTTTTTGCATACTCGAATGCGTTTAAAAAAAAAACATCATTACTCTTAATTTAGAACGTTCCGTCTGTTGCATCGATTTCATCACGCATCCAAATCGCTCGTCTTTGGCGCGCGGAGTGTAAATAAAGAAAAGCAAGAGAAGAAACTCGCCGCCGATTTAGGGCCAAGAAAACTGGCCGCCGAGACGGGTAGCGGTCCGCGGAAAATGGCCGACGGCGGAAAAAAGCGCGCCGCGCGACCGCCTCGAGCGATTCGGAGTAGAGCGAAGTGGGTCGGCTCGGTCGGCCGCCCTCGGCGGCGCTCGGGTGCCTTCGTCAGCGTTCGGCGATCGGCGCGCGCGCTCACAGCTACGAGGCGTCTCCACGGCAGCAGTCGCGTCCCAAATCAAGGGAACCCGCCTCCGGCCATCGAATAAACGCTCGATTCACACGGGACGCGATACGGTCTCGGCGAATGAACAGCGCCGCGGAAAATGGACATAACTGTTAACGCGAACGCAACTTATTAGCCCGCTGAAAGTTTCGATCCAGCAGTGAATTTTGAACTGTTCGATATAAGAAAATGTTGTGGGAGTCCAGCCTAATCGAGGAGTCGGAGATGGTGAGTTTTTTTTTTATTATTATTTTCGTCGGTTCTAAAATACTTTTGTTTTAATAATTTAAAAAAAAATACAGCCAGTACCAACGCGTGCGAGCTGTATGTGTGGTAGCGTTGCGCGCGTGTGTGTAAACTTTCTAGTTTTCGCTCGGTGCTGCCAGTATTTGCATAAAACGTGAACAGTTTTTCATAATATAAACCACATGGGGGCATTTAAAGAGCCTCCTGTGTTGTAAATATTCACGACGCATCTCTTAAGCTGTGACAATGTTGGTAATGGCTTTATTTGATGTAAATAAATGTGGATTCTATCGTCGGAGAATCACGCGTGCGGCTCAAGCGCGGGAGCTAAATACTAAATCGCATCACTATTTTTGGAACTCCACAAATGGTCGGTTTTTGTTAACAGTTTCCACAAGTTGCACTTTCCAAACAAATATTCATTATTATTAGACATATGTTTGTGTATTTTGGCAGTTACATTGGTTTAGAAAATTGAGGTGTATTCGTTGTTTTTTTAATTCTTAAATATAATTTGCAACAAGTCGCGCCCGGGCGCTAGTTTCATGTAGAAATAATAAACAATGCTGATGGAGATATTTCTTCACTGAGGGATTTATTGATTAAGTGAAAGATGAATGTATTTGTTACAATCATCAGATGTGTACAATTTTAGTACTAAATAATGTTTTTTTATTTTTCATTTGATTTTTAGTGTTTTTAAATAGAGCAAAGTACTGATTACTTACTTCCCACCCTTATTTTCTTACTTTTTCTTTTTACATAAATTGAATAAGACATTTGAAAAATATCCTTTATTTCATGCTTATATAATCTTTAATGTTGAAGTTTTTATGTTACAAATAGCGATGATCTGTCGATTTACTATCATTTAAACTACTTTGGTATAACTAAACATTGATAGCTTATCAAGCATTGCAAGCGAGAAAGCATAATCGGCTCGCGTTCGAGAAGAAAAGAGATGGTCAATGGAGTCTTAGGGACGAGATAATTTACCGATATATACAAACAGTTATACATAATAGAGGTTAGGATTCGTCATGCTATTCCGTGGGCAGCGTGTGAGAATTAAATTTAGTTCTGCCAAATAAATTTAAAAGGAAACTTAGACAACATTGATTGCTAGAGCAATAAGAGACGCTTCGTATTTCGATATCGATGAGTGTGGTAAAATCTCGTTTCTATTTATTGAAAAACAATCATAATCATGATGATGCATGATCGTACAACAGTCGTTTCCAATCGTTAAACGTTTAAGTCCAAATTTCTTTGACTCAGTTCCAAGAGATGTTCATTTATATTATTATTGATGATTATTTGATCATATGATTATAGTCCCAGAAAGAGAAAACAAGTTCATTCCTTCTTGCTTTTTCAAACGATACAAATACCAAACAAGGCGCTAATAATATTGTTGTTTTGTGGTTCATTCGAATTTTTGCAGAAAAGAGTATGCAGCCCTAAATCTGGCGCTGTGGTCTTTTGAAAAGATACAGTGGATACTTGTCCGAATTAATAAAATCCATAACCTAATCCCTTTACTTAATTAAAAAGTAAATATTTTCCGCGAGTCTCGTTAATACTTTAGAGTAGTTATTAAATGTTGATTCGAAGATCAGAATTACTGATCAAGATGTATTGCCATCTAGATTATCCGTGCAGTAATAGCGAAGCATACTGTCCAATTAGCGCTTTCACAGTTAATGGTCGTATTACAGATTCCTCCGTAAGCGACGAGTGCGTTAAGAAATATTTTAGTACGCATTCATATTGCGAATTCAAATACTTTTTTCATTGTCAATAACGAAGGCAATGGAGCTAGTATAATTCTGAAGCCACTGTAACATAGAGGGGTGTACAAATAGGCGTATCTTTTAAGTTGCATTCACTTTTAAAAGAAAACTAAACATCAGTATACGTACACAATTCTATTGTCTGATTTGCGAAACAACAAAAAATTAATAAATGCGTAGTCGTTAATGCGGCTAGGTTTAAGAAATAATAATGTAGGTATTGACTTCTTGATTTTACGCGAATATTATACATATTAAATAAAACATGATAAAATCCGTAAAAAGTTTCATTTAAAAATAATAATATTGTGTTAAAAATCATAAATGCGTTTAAAACTAGTCGGGTGATAAGGAAAATTTCCTTTTAGATTTTTCACCGTTTTAAATTTCCCAACCATTGTTTTCAAACTGGTTCAACTGGTCAAGCGCTACATCCATTAGTGCTCCATAAAGCTTTTCTTTGCGTTGGAAATAATGACTTTCCATGTATCACAGAAGGGAACATAAAATCCCCTTTCTTTTAATCCGACGAGTTCTCTTTCTTTTGGCTAGACATACATTGACTGACACAATTGGAGCTATCGCATATCACTGAGCTTATAGTCCCGATAAGTGACAGGCTCATCACCGTAAAAATGAAATTATTGCACTGCACTCGGATTTGAACTCAGATCTCTCGCAACATCGTGTCGAAACCTTCCCTGTATACCTATATTTTGCAAATTTTGAAGTTGACGTAAAGGTAAATGTACGGCAAGAACATGTACGGTTTTAGGCGTTAAACGTCTGAGATATTTCAAGAACAACTCATCGGTGCACGAAATAAAATTTGATTTCGACACAGATATATATAGATATAGAGAGTAAACACTTACATATATATTTTTTTTTTTATGCGAAAAGTTGTCAAACGAGCAGACGGTTCACCTGATGTTAAGTGAATACCGCCGCCCATGGACATCTGCCACACCCGAGGGTTGCAGATGCGTTGACAACCATTTGAAATTTGGGCTCCGGCTACCTCACTCACCAGACGAAACGCGAAAGTAACGCTTCCACTTTACGCTAGCCTTGTGTGAGGTCGTGGTACCTACCCGGACGGGCCTGCCCATTCGTGCAACAGCCGAGGCTGCTGCGTGGCCCTACCACCGAAAAAAATATCATAAAGTATATATTTCTTTTCGTCACCACACCTGGGCACCATACCAGTTGCCAGCTGGTATCAATTGGAGAGGCCATTAGCGATGCCATTATTGAACCCGTTTATCTGCGCGCAGGAAGACGTTCCAGCGACCCACTGACTGCGTTTCTAGCTTTTTTTTCCATTTTATTTGATCGTTAAAAATTATAATTAAAATGACTGTGATACGCAACGTAACAATGGTTTGTATGGAATTAAAAAAATAGAACGAGCTAAAGGCCATGTTATTTATGCCACTCAATCGGAAAACAGACATTATGGTGTCAGTCACCCGCGCTAAGTGAAACGCAATTATCAAGATCGCATACTTATAAAGTTCTTAAGACGGAAAGAACTGTTGTTACCTACGAAGGCCGCTTCTGAGATAATTATAATAGAAAAAAATTAACTGCCTCCAATTTCAGATTCGACTGACAGAGTTAACTCTATTGCGATATTCGTAAGGTTTATTTACAACCAGCTGCGCCTCAAGCGGTTTTAAATGGCTCGTGTCTCTTTTTCGAGCGATCTTTTATACTTCCCAATAAAACTTACAATGTAACGCGATGTACGCTCAACTTGGTTAATTTAAATTTTATTGTTTGTTGATACCGCAATTGTTATTTATCCTACCAATGTCATATAGCGACACTTTACAAATGTATTGTAAGCTGAAAATAAATTTTAATCGATTCTACGTACTGGAATTATTATGGTTCGACTTTTTGCTTGTTGTAACACTGGTAATGTTAATGGCGATGTAATGCCTTAACTTGAAATTGTGGTATACAGTATACGTTTAAGGTAGAATTTGGTAAAAATTTAAGAATTTGATTAGTTAATTTTAGAATCGTTAGATGCATTTTCATCGGCGACGTTATTGAATAATATGGTTAAATTTGTTAATTGAAACATTAAAGATAATGGACTAGGTCAACGAGGGAGATAGCATATTACATTTTAATAATTTTTACACTGTCTCGAAGATTCATTTTAAATCTGGCACCTAACTTAATTAAAATTTCACAGCGACGAATATCGACATCTTTTGGCAGGTTTTTCGTTTAAGCTTGCGATTATAAACCGATAAATAAACCATGACAAAGCGTGTACATAATATGGTTCCGGACGGCTGTATTAATTGCGGCATCATGAGATGTCAATTGTATGAACTACTGCATGTTTTGTTCGTGTATATGAAATATTCCGAACCATAAGGAGAGGGTCTTGGCGTACGTACTTAAGCGATAATTGGCGTGTAGTTTACCGCGTACCAGAATGCCACAGTACAGAGTTATAGCCAGCTGTTGTGACGTGAACATTTCCCTTTGTATGACACCATTAGTCGAACAATACCCACAGATTTTCTCTGTGGTATCCAGTAGCTTCAACTATTGCTTGAATGGCTGGTACCTCCCTAGGCTGGCTGGGGGAGGTACCGCGACCTCACAGAAAACCGGCGTGAAAGGGATTATACACTTTCGCGTTTCGTCTGGTGTGTGAAGTAGCCGGGGATTACTTAGTTGGTTGGCTGCAGACGATGCTCTTAAGTGTTGTAGATGTCCATGGGTGACGATAAAAACTTAACAACATGTGAATCGCCTGCTCGCTTTCCAACTTGTTCATTTTACATTGAAAATCCTTACTAATATTATAAAGGTGAAAGTTTGTTAGTCTTTCACGCAAATACTACTGAATAGATTTTAATGAAACTTTACAATAATATAGCTCATATATCAGAATAACACATAGGCTATAATTTATATACATATTTCTATATATATACCTGTCTTTATATCTGAATGTTACGCCTTCAGCCTATTCTACGCAGCCGTAGTCGCGGGCAGCAGCTAGTAAGTTATCGTCTATCACTGTCTTCTCTATAAGGCTTTGAAGACTACAGCTAGTATTTGTATTTCGATACGCCATGTCGTAAGCCCGTTTAGGCTTACGAGTTCCTGTGGTATTTTTATATCGTCTAGACTTAAGTCGTTTCCTTCATTATAGAT